GAAGGTGGCAGATGCAAAGTGCCAAATCTGGGTGAAGGATAAGAGCCTTGTGGGGTTCTGTCAGGGCACCAGCTCATTGCTTGGTCAAGAGACATGACTAAGCCTTTATGACATGGAAGTAGCTGGTATACCTTGGCATGTGCTGGAACCTGCTGGAAGGATTGGATGGTCAGGTGACCTGCTGTGCATGGCTGTGCATGACCTCATATGACCTCATCCTTGGTCATATGACCTGATCACCTGACTAGGCTGAGTAAGCAAGATGTTCTAGCAGGTTCCACCACAGAGGTATAAATATAAGGCCTACTCTGCCTGGGGACTGTCTCTTCAGACTGGGTTGCTTAGGATCACCCACAGGTACCTATACTGTAGATAGGTCTTAGTCATCAGGTCTATTCCACTTCCTTGTTGCCTGCTTAGACTCTTGGCACTCTTAGGTGAGCAGACTTAGTCAGCCTGTGTTGCCCTAACAGGGAGACACTGCCATCAGGCTGGGAGGGAGGTTCTGATGGGCTTTTGAGGGTTGGGGTGCACAGTAGGGGGAGCTGTAACCCATTGGAGTGGGACAAGGCAGGTTCAGCTACTCTGTAGCAGTAGGTGAGATGTGGGTGTGGGAGGTTTGACTTGACTCACCACCAACACATCTGATGTGTTGGTGTCAGTTGGCATCAACTCATGTGAGTCCCATCTCAGGTGAGCATGCCAATCTTGCACTTGGCATCTGGCTCATCCACTGGAGCAGATGTTGTCTCTCAATAGACCTCTGAGGCTCAGGCAGGGCCTCAATGGCCTGGATGAAGTTGATTGAGGGGGAGCCAGACTGCAAAGACGTAGCAAGGGAGCTGTAAGGGAGAGTGGTGAGACAAGCAGGGAGCACAAGAGGGTTTTTATGATGGGGTGTGGATGGCTTTGGGGACAAGAAAATGCTGGGGATGATCCAGAAGGGATGCTAAGACAGGATTGGGGACAAGAAGCTATAACAATTGGCCACCTCAATGTGTAAGATTGTTCTTAATATCAATTTATGTAGGCCACAAATATATAATTTGCAGTATCCATTGCCAGAAGCCCCTGATGGGACATCTGTCCACAGCTACCATGTGAACATGATATATTACCCACTATTGGCTATCCTGGGGAGGTTAGCAAAGGAGGGCTACAAAAAAACATAGGACAGGACTTTAAACTCAGTAGGAAATATACTATCAGAGGTGTAGGATAGGTCATCTGGCTCACCCATCCTAGGCCTTGGTCAGGTGATTATAAATATCCTGCAAGACCCTAGGCCATCTAGGGCTGACACATGGTGTATGTTTCCTCCATTTGTATCTGCGGAGGCTGATATCTCTCCTTGCTTCGGAGACAAATGTGCACAGCTTTTGTCAACTCTATTTTGAGGGCATGTACCAGTGTCAGACCATTTGCGAAGGACATCTAAGTCCTCGAACCCACCATAGTTTGTTTCCGCTTTACATCAGTTGGGTTGGCTTATAGGAACAACAAGCACCAACCCTTTCGTCTCCTCGGTTGGTGCACCAACAAAGCTCGAGAAGGAAAAGACCGAGTAGACCGAGTTGGAGCATAGGGGTAACACGGGGAAAGCTCTGCAAGGTCGGGCTGAAAGTACTGAAATATGGTTTTTGGAACGTTGTTTGCGAGGAGGGAGGCTACTATTACGTCGGATCATCGGCGAGAGGAATGCTAAGATACAAAGCATACTTGAGATGTGATGTGCATCGTTAATGACTAGGGGTATCAGATTATGTATCGTGATTTCCCCACTCCATTACCGCGTGGTCGGCCGCCTCCTGTAACTGCCTAGTTTTCTCAGACATCCGATGTGTTTTGTAACCCCCTTTTTCATGAGCCTTGAGGGATTCCGCATGATTGTTTTCGGCGACTGTCTTGAGGCTAAGCAACGTGTCCTCGGATCGTTTGTAAGTCTCAACCACTTGGCTTTCCTCAGAAGGCATCTTTTTTCCCATATAACGCATTTTCCTGTCGAAGATTGCGTTCCTGTACTGTCCAGCCATGGTGGCGTGTATCACTGCTTTTCTGTGGTAGATTTCTGATGCCAAGAGATGATTTCCCTCAGACGTGTGTGTCTGGGCTAGTTGTGCGAGAACATTGTGAAAAATGTTATCGTGTGGTATTCCACACGTGACGTGAGACGGTAGTGCTGGTGCTAGTGGTAGTGGTTGTACTGGTGGTAGTGGTTGTACTGGTGGTTCTGTTTGCGATTTCTTTCCAAACATTCGCCGGGCACTGTATCAGTTGTGAGATCACCGTCCATCCTCTATTTCAGGGATGAGAACGCACAAGTGACCGATCGCAATCGCAGCCCCTTTTATAGACTTCTTCGCAGACGGGGGAGAGGCAGGAGCACCACCTGCGCTCAGATTGAGTTTGGAAGGATGTCCTCCTGTGTGAGTTCCAGTGAGCTGTTGATGTTGTAGTGGACCCGGGTTGGGTGCGCGCCTTTGCCTAGATCGGACTCATTGAGTACGATACAACAGGATCGGTCAAATGTCTACGCACAGTGCGGCACTTTCCCCTGCATCCAGTTGATATCCCCCAACGTCCAGAGATGGAACAGGAGCCGCCAACGATAGAAGAGCGGCGAAAAGAAATGACAACAATGCTGTCTTGATCAGCATCATGGGGTGAAAGAACGGGCGAGGTAAGAGGTGACCAGCACGTGAGAATGGTGAAGAGCGACGAGGAATTATGAACGAAGAGAGGCGAGACCAGCTGCAGGGAGGATGTTCACCCATTGGCACCCATTTTTGAACGCAAAACCAGCGAGGCGCAGAAGAGTTGATCGGTGTTGAATTGAGTTCTTCAGCACAGAGGAATTGCGGTGATGCCCGTGGCATTCATTTTCTACCAGTTGAGGCTATGTTCATGTAAGGGGTGATTCTTGTAATGAAATACTACCGGTGTTGGTTGTTCATCCAGTGCCCTCACCGATTTCACTAGTCAAGGGCGCTCGGCCACAGCAGTCGAATGTTTCGTACATAGGTGTCGAACCGCATAGGGTTTAACTTGTGTTGAGATGACGTATTCGCAAGCTAGCACAGGTTTGCTTCCGCGTTTGATCTCAGCTTAGCGCCCCGATGGGGATTACCGGATGATCTTCGGCTCCAACATTTCATCATGGTCTCGGACGGCTGAACTCTGACCAAACGGATTTATCAACTATGTCTCCTCATCATGTACACCGAGAAGCTTTGCAATGGCTAGGAATCCGAGGGATCGCTTTAATCTTGAATGATTCGGGCCAAACAGTCAATCCGCTGTCCCAGAACGCCGAACAGTAGATCGAGAGGGAGAGACATTCTCCAACTTTTCTACTACCCAGACTACGGTGCACTCTGTCGCAACAGGAACGAGCGAGATCGTTATTGCCTCGGACAAGGCGCGCCTCTCCTCTTCCTCTCCGTTCGTTCGACACTTCTCTGCAGCTCGACCCCGCGCACCCCTCCGCAGCGACTAGCGCGACCCGCACCGCAAAGCACGCAAATCGAGCATCTCTTTTGTTCCGCTTCCCTCGCCAGAATGTTCCCGGCGAACTCCTTCACCCTCGGCCTTGCTGCCCGGTCCCAGATCCTCCGTTCCCAAGATTCTGGCGTGGCACCACGTCCTAACCCGCGACCAGCAAAGGTAGTACATGTTTATAAGGGGGGGTCAGGACTGGAGTGCTGCGAAGAGGGAACAGGGTGTGGACCTTGGATAGCTGGGGAAGAAGTTGTCAATGAGATGGAGGGAGGGGAAGAAGACTACTGGTGCGCAAGGTGGCAAGCAGATGAGTATTGAGGAAGCGAGGGAGAGGAGAGGGAGAGGGAGAGGGAGAGGGAGAGGGCGGCGTGGGCTCTGGGAGTGTCGGGCGTAGCTTGAGACGGAACAGGAGGAGAGGAAAGCGGTGGAGTTGGAGAAAGAGGTCCAGGAAGCGGAGGATCCCACGGCGCTTGCGAAGCCCATGCCTGAGTCGCCGCCTCCTGAACTGGAGGAGGACGAAGCAGAAGCAGAAGCAGAAGCAGAAGCAGAAGGGGAGGAGAAGGGCGAGGCGGAGGGAGAAGTTGAACCTGGCCAGAGGAAGGAAAAGAAGATGAAGAAGCCGCCGTCCAACTGGAACCGGCCAAATTAGAGCCCGAGCCTTCTCATCATGCGCCTACCGACACCGACACCGACACCGACACCGACGCTGCAGTACCAACAGCCGCATAGGCAAACGCCGCAGTCGGTCCCCCCCCCCTCCCCGGTGGAATTGCCCACGTCCAGCGCGAGATGTTGGGGTTCGTGTTCGCAGATGCGGATGGGGAGAAGAAGGAGTAGGAGTAGACGGAGTGGAAGCGTACGCGTGAGAGTGGGAGTGAGAGTGAGAGTGAGAGTGAGAGTGGGGATGGGGATGGGATGGGGAGCGCAGGAGGTGAAGGGGGATTCGGGAACTGCCAAGCCTACGGAGGTGTTTATCCGGAGGACGAGGGGACTCGCTCATCGGCCAAAGGCGTCCCGCCTCGAAAGGGGTCCAAAACAGAGCTTGATGAGGGCGGGTACCTTTGAGAAACCAGCTTCCGTCCGACTGCCGGTCTTCAGCCTTATAAAGCTCATTTCTTCCACTTGGACTGACCTCTTCAGCTTAATAGTTTCTTTAGATGTCTGAGAATCTTTAAAGTTAAACGGTTTCCCGGATGTACGTGTTTATTAAGTATTGAACAACCCGGCCTAATCGATCAATTGATTATGATCTTCCCAAGTCAAGCACGTTGAAAAGATCTGAGAGGTCAGGAAAGCGAGACACCAATCTCATTTGGAACGATGCGGGCCAAATAGTCACTCCATTGTCCCAGAAAGCCATTGGATCGGACAAATTGTCCTTTCCCTGTTGATCCTCTACCCCATGGAAGTCGAACGCCCAAAGCAGCTGCGCAGCTGCGATCAACACTGTGTTGATCGCGAGGCTCTTACCTACGCAGATACGTCTTCCGTGTCCGAACGCGAGATAATCGTCGTGCGAATCTGGTGGAGAAGCTTTAATGTTCCCCTTGTCATCCAGGAACCGGGATGGGTCAAACGCGTCGCCGTCATGATACAAGGAAGGATCACGGCAGATAGACCTGGAAGTCATTGAGAACAAAGGCATCCGACATTTTAATCCAGCATCCGCACCATTCATTGGGAATGAGAATTGTGCCCTTCGGAATTGTGTACTTATCGTAAATGATATCCTGTCAACAGTGATCAGGCAAAGACTAATGAGAAGTAGTCCAGAATGATAATCATGGGAGAGGAATAAAGCAGTGGAAGCAAATGCCTCATGGCCAACCCCCTATCTTATTTGACAAACTCAGGCTTTGCTCTTCTGCCATCTCTCTCTCATACCACCATCAGCTACCAACATCTCTACTGTTATCAACTCTGATGCCATTTCAATCCCTGCCTCCATCGCCTCTACTATGCAACACTCTGCCAGCTTCCCTTTTGGCAGCATGAATGACTTCTTGGGTGATGTCAAGCAGACTGTGGGTGTTTGGTGCTCTGCACTGAACAATGCTTCCCGTGGCAGCATGTTGGACAGCAATGCACCCAAACTCTCCAAGAATGAGAAGAAGGAAGATGGTGCAAACCATGAGGATGACAAGAAGAAAACAAAGGTGATGAAAGGCAAGGAGAAGGGCAAGATTTGTCTGGAGGTTGTAGAGTGGGAGAGACAGGGTGAAGGCAGTGGTGATCCCAACAGCACAGGAGTTGTCCTCACTCCTGGCAAGTTGGTGCTGTTCAAGAAGATCCTGGATTTGGCAGCAAAGAGGTATGGGACAGACATGGGTCTGACAAAGATGACCTTCAAGGTGTTGAAGGATGGTGGAGTGGTAAGTACCGCCAGCCAAACAATTCCTCAGGTGCTGTATAGTACCTAAGGTAATTGTGTTGGTCAATGGAATACCTAGCATACAGACCATGATTGACCTCAAATCAGGTCTCTATCAAAGGGAACAATACTCTTGCTATCACCAAAGGGGAGGGAGATCTCCCATTTGGGTAAAGATCTTGCTGCCAAACCTGCAAAGAAGACAGATCTGGCCACCATGACTGAGAAAGAATTCCAAGCAGAAGAAGCATGCCACAGGAACATGGGCATCTGCTTTGGATCCAACAAGGAGGCTAGCAGGCTTGCTGTTAGGGCAACACAGGCTGACTAAGTCTGCTCACCTAAGAGTGCCAAGAGTCTAAGCAG